GACTCACCTCAGACGCCACTGGTCTAACTGTCCTGGTCGCTTAAACTGTCGATTGTAATCCTTCTCTCTCACTTCCTTTTATTTCGTCTGATGAAGAGCACGCGTCATGAACTCGAAAATTCACAAGTACATCTTGATTTTTCCGAAGAACCTCTTCTTTATTTTATTGCTTGGAATGCATACCCCTCTGATCTATAACTCAGTCTTTTGGGAAATTAGTCAATCTTTGAGCAGAAACTGGATCTTCTCTTAATTGGCGTTCAGGTACTTTTGTTGTTTCAACTGAAAGCCAGAAGCTGGAACGGTCTTCCACTATTAAGTCAAGCCTCATCCACCATCCGGTGCAAGTTGGATGGAAACGTCCAATTCCGATGGCAAAACTCAATGTGTCAAATTACGCAACCACTGTCCAGTAGGCTACAATTTAGTAGAGGTTTTGGACAACCGGCGAATCATAGTTTACGCAGTCTGGTTGGACTTGCTAAGGATCAATTATACTGGGAGGAGCAATTTACTGGCTAACAACAACAACCACCATAAAATGGAGAATAAAGAGACTTGCCATTTGCACTTTCACGTGGAGCACCACTGCCCTCCTCCTTCTTAATGCTGATAACGAAGGGATTGAACATGAACAGACAGAAGGACATTAAGAAGAGGCTGGCGTTAGTAAAGGCGCCGTTGTGGGTATAATAGGCGGGTGATGGCTCCAAGTGCGAGAGGGGGGCGGTTTGACTTGCGGCGCCCTGACAATCACGTTTGCCTTGAACGTAGACGGTTGTCCTATTGCCGGGCATTGGGTCCAACTCGGCTTTAATGAAGGTCGGTTCGGACACCACGTAGACGCTCACTTTTTCGGCTGTCTGGTTCTCGAAAGGCGAGGGTTCGGCTTAAGGTAGGGAAGAGAAGTCAAGAGCATAAGCCACCCAGCAAGAATGATTTCGAGGCAGGAACAAATGCCAAAAGAAGAGTTAAAAAGGCTACCACACTTTGATTACTGGAGCAAAAAGGCTGCACTTCAGACATAAAAGACAACATATTCAGATCCATTTGTTGATAGATTTAACGCCTCCAAGGCGCATAAGTTTACGATTTGAGGAGGCGTTAACGGTATTACACTTCACAGTATCCGAGCGCAGGGGCCATATTGGCGCGGTGGCACAGCAACCACCTCATTTCCGTAAGGGATGTCGTATGGACGACCTTGTGGAGAAGAATGCGCAAACACAGCATAAATATCACTTCTGACGATGAGAACCGGTGTTTTCGAGACAGCAGTAGGATGGGTCAATTTTTCCCGAGCCCTGTCCTCCTTCTCAATCATAAATTATCATAGTTTCAGAAGCAGTCTTGCGAGAAATAAGGAGGGCTATGCATTCTTATTATAGTCAACGACAATATTTGGTATGGATGACTTATATCACTCTCTAAACAGGACATGAGAACAGGAACCGCTAGCAAGACAGATGTCACCGCACCAATTTCCGGGAAGGAATAGAATCGGGTTTATGGTTAGGGTTAAGACTGACCATTCCAATCTTCCTCGTCTTTGCCGGCAATACTGTCCACCTAATGCCACTTATTACGGCTTTCAGAGCTCATGTCGAGGCCCAAGGCAGAGCGAGACAGACGAATTCTGTTAGCGGTCAGGTTAACGTTCATCAACGAATGTCAATGTCCCCTGACCTAAACCGGCGAGACAACGAGCTCGTGGCTCAAGGGTCAGGGCGTTTGACTCTGATCAAAAATGTCGCGAGTTCGAGGCTCGTGTGGGACACCACTGGGACCTGTGTATGGCTGGTTGGCTGACGACGGCTAATGAACCAGAAATGGCCACTCCAGTCTCCCTTGTCTTTGCCGGCAATACTATCTGCCTAATACAGTAGTCGCCGGCTATTAAGCCCACGGCTAATAAGCCCAGCCGC